TCAAATATATGTATATATATAATCTTACTATTATTATAAAAAAGGTTTATGATTCCCCTACATAAATTTTATCCATTTATAACAAGGATTAGAACATTTTTCAGAATCATTTTTTTCTTTCCCTTGGGAGATTCATGTACGAGTAGCGTGGTTTGCATTAGGCTGCAAAAAAGTAAAAGCGCGTTGAGAAAAGGATATATATATATATATATATATATGTATACATATATATATGTATATATATATATATATATATATACATATATATATATATATATATATATATATATATACATACATATATCTATTATTATCTTAGTATTATTAAAAAGACATTTATGATTCCCATAAATAAATCTTAGCTATTTATAGTAAGAATTAGAACATTTTTCAGAATCATTTTTTATTTCCCTTAGCGGGAGATTCATGTATCGAATAGCGTGGTTTGCACAGGGCGGCAAAAAAATAAAAGGCGCATTTTGAGAAGGATATATTTATTATCTTACTGTTATTATAAAGACGTTTATGATTCCCATAAATAAATCTTAGCCATTAATAACAATAATTAGAACTTTTTTTCCTAATCATTTTTTCTTTCCCTTAGCGGTAGATTCAAGTGTCGAGTAACGTTGTTTGCATTAGGGCTACAAAAAATAAAACGCCTTTAGAGAAAGATATATATATATATATATATATATATATACCTATTATTATCTTACTATTATTATAAAAGATGTTTAAGATTCTCCTAAATTAATCTTAGCCATTTATAGCAAAGATTAGAACATTTTTAAGAATCATTTTTTCTTTCTCTTAGCAGGAGATTCATGTACCAAGTAGCGTGGTTTGATATATATATAATATTCATGTACCAAGTAGCGTGGTATATATATATCAAACCACGCTACTTGGTACATGAATATTATATATATATATTCATGTACCAAGTAGCGTGGTTTGATATGTATATATATATATATATATATATATAGGGTTGAAGCACCGCCCCCAAGACTCAATGAGGACTCCTCAGATGCTGATCCTCTTGGAGAGCTATCAGACCCTAATAGCAATGTTGAGATCTTACCACACAGATTACTCAGGAAGGAAGATAATGAAGTTATAATAATCACACCTACATCCCCTTTGCAAGATGAGATGGGAAGGGAACTCATTACAAATATCCATGATAAAGTTCCAAAAGACCCCATAATTACTGGAATGAAACATACAATTGAAGAAGATTGGCAAGTTAAAAGAGCAAGAAGAAGGAAAAAAACCTGTGACAGAAGTGCAGAAATTACAACTAGGGGCACACTCAATGAAGGTAGAAAGAGCAAGGAATGGTTCTCCTAACCATCATAGAGGAAGAACTAGATCAAGATCTCAACCATCCCCACATCCCCCTTCTAATGATTAATCTCCTTTGCTGGAATATAAGGGGGATGACTAACCCTCTTTCCCTAAAAAGAGTCCTTCATATGAATTTTAAATACAAGCTGTGGTGCATTGTTATTCTAGAACCTATGGTTCAGATCCCCAAAATGTGATTAAAAGTTTGCTGGTTTTACTCACTTTGTTAATACTAACAATAAAATTTGGATCTTTTGCAGAAAGGAAATTAATTCAAACATCTTAATCAACCATCCACAATTTGTCCACCTTTCATTCAATATGAATGGTCATAAGGGAGAAGCTACATTTATCTATGCTGGATGTACAAAGGATGCCAGAAAGGAGCTGTGGAATAGGTTGATTAACATTAGTCAACAGATGAGTTCCTCATGGGTGGTGGGGGGAGATTTCAATTGTATTACTTCTATTGCTGAAAAATCTGGAGGGAGGGTCCCAAATTTAGTCAAGATGAACAACTTTAGTGATAATATTCACAGGGCTGGACTCTTTGATTTGGGCTTCAAGGGGCCTGCTTTCACTTGGAAGAGGGGAGCCATTTGGGAGAGGTTTGATAGAATGTTGGTTAATGATGCATGGTTCAACCATTTTCTCCTCACTTTTGTTACTCATCTAAGTCTTGCTGGATCAGATCATAGGCCTATCCTTATCAGTATTACTTCTACTGATTATCAACCTTCCCCCCTCCCCCCCTTTAGATACCTTAACATGTGGGCATAACATCCTTCTTACAACAAGTACATTGCTGAACTCTGGAAAGGTATTTCTCACCCTGATCTTATTATCAAGTTAAGTTTGTTGCAAATTAAAACTGCCAAAGCCCTCAGAAAATGGAGTTGGGAAACATTTGGAAATGTTCATGCCAAAGTTCAAGAGGCAGAGAATGAAGTGAATAGATTGGAGCATGAGGAACAGATAGACAATGTGGAGGAAAAGGAACTGTTGACTGCTCAAAATAATTTCCTTAGTGATATTGAATATCAAGAAAAAATTCTTAAACAGAAGGCTGCTATGAATATTTTTACAGATGGGGATAGAAACACCGTATTTTATCATGCCTATATAAAATACAAGAGAAAGTGTAATACCATTCATGCTATTCAAAATGCTAATGGTCAGTGGTTACATGATAATGCTGAAATAGCTAATGATGCTATAAGTTACTATAAAAACCTGCTAAATCAGGAACATCATCCCAGAACCCCCATTGAGCGGGCACAATTGAGCATCATCCCAGAACCCCCATTGAGCGGGCACACTTTTCTGCTGAACTGAATTATACTGCTAGCCTCAAGCTCATAGATATTCCCAATGAAAAGGAAATTTGGAATGCCATTAGCTCAATAGACAACAACAAATCTGCAGGCCCTGATAGCTTTACTGCTGAGTTCTACAAAAAGTCTTAGGAGACAATTAAGGCTGAAGTTATTGCTGCAGTGACAAGCATCTTTCAAGGAAATAACCTCCCACAGTATTTATGTGCTTCCACCACTGTTCTGGTACCTAATTCTGATATTTAGCAAAATTGGAACCACTTTAGGCCTATTTGTTTAACTACTCACATAAGAAAAACTATTAGCAAAATCATTGCTAATAGGTTACAACTTCATCTTGATTGTATCATTAAACAAAATCAAACAGCTTTTGTGAAAGGAAGATCCCTAATTGAAAACACTCTCTTAGCTCAAGAATTGTTACAGGATTTGAATAAAACCTGTAGAGGAGGCAATATGATTTATAATTTGGACTTAAGGAAAGCTTATGATACCATAAGCTGGGAATTCATGATGGAAATTTTAACTGCCAAAGGCTTCAACACTGCTTTGTGTCAACTGATTAAGAGGTGGTTACATAATAATGAGCACTCTATTTTGATAAATGGACAAGATAGGGGATCCTTCACTGCTTCCAGAGGTTTAAAGCAAGGGGATCCTTTGTCACCCACCATTTTCATACTTGCTATTGATTAATTATCCAGAATTCTTGATGAAGCTCTTCTGAATCACAACCACAGCAGATATCATCACAGATCCAACATAGCCATTACTCACTTACTATATTCTGATGATATAATGGTTTTTTCCAGAGCTAATAAGAATGTTGTAAGAAAAGTCTTCCAGACACTTCAAAATTTCCAAGCTCACTCTGGGATGTACTTCAATCCAGAAAAGTGTCAAATGGTCTTTCACAAACATGTCTCCTCTAGTCACAAACAATGGGCTTCTAACTACACTGGTTTTTCAATCTCTCAGCTCCCAATTAAGTACCTAGGGGTACTTTTAATCACTGGCAGAACCAGACAAATCCAGTTTGAAGAGGTATTGAACAAAATTTCTAGTCTTCTCAATGGGTGGACACAAACTTTTTTATCCAATTTTTTATCCAAAACTTTTTTATCCAATGGGGGAAGAATTACTTTGCTTAAAAGCATTCTTACTACCTTCCCTTCATATATACTGCAAATGACTACTATTAAGAAAAGTACACAAACCCAGCTTGAAAGAATATTCAACAAGTTTCTGTGGTCTGGCCAAAGATAGCAAATGCACTGGGCTTCTTGGAAAAAAGTTGCCAAACCTCAGATTGCTGGGGGTATTGGCTTTAAGGACCTTGACCAACTCCTTTAGATAAACTTCTTTAAACTTTGGATCAATTTTAGAGCTCAAACCTCTCTGTGGGAAAAATTTATGTGGGGAAAATATTGCAAAGATCAGCATCATACACTTGTTCTCAGGAAAACCGGGGACTCTAAAATCAGAGTGAAAATGCTGAAAATCAGACCAATTGCTGAAAACACTTACAATTAGGGTCTGGGTAAAGGAGATATTAAGTTTTGGCTTGATAATTGGTGTCCAAGAGATTGGTTATCCCCTATTACCAATGCCTATAATATTAATCTGAAAGTGGCTGATTGCTGGGATGGTGATGAGTGGTCTCCAATTAAGCTGTCTAATACTCTGCAACCTCACTCTATCACCAAAGTGGCTAGTATAAAGTTTGATAGAAGCAAAGCTGATAAAGTTGTGTTGCAGACAATCTCTCATCAAAGTCTAACCAAAGCTATCTATTCCAAAATTTTCTGTTGGGAGCAATTACCCTGGGGAGACGCTATTTGGAACAAATTCCTTTCCCCATCTATGTCTTTTCTCTGTTGGAGAATATTCCACAAGATGATTCCTACTGATGACATTCTCAAGTTAAAGGGATTGAGGGGTCCTTTTAAATGCTGGTTATGTAGGAAAGAGGAAGAATCCTTGGTTCACTTATTCCTTTGAATGTAATTTTGCTCAGCAGGTATGGAAACAACTACTGAGTCAGTTGAATATTGATGAGAAAGATCTTACTTGGGATAGGCTAGTAAATTGCTGGCAGACTTGACACAAGAGAAAATATGCTACTATCCCATTTATTACTGCATGGTTCATTTGGATGGAAAGAAACAAGGCAAAGTTTGAGAATGCCATCCCAAATGTTGAAAAAAAATGTTAGAAAGAGTTTATTTTATCTTCATAAGATGATCAAATGGAAAAGATTCCCTGATGTCTCTAAATCCTGCCCATCTGATAAGATAGACCCTATTCAAGTATTTAGAGTTTATTGGAAATCTCCTCAGCATCCCACTGTGAAGATTAATACTGATGGAAGCTTTACAAAACATGGAGCTGGAGTGGGAGGAATTTACAGAAATCATTTGGGTAAGTGTCTATTATACTTATACACCCCAGTAATGGTTACTGATGCTACTGAGACTGAACTTATAGCTATTTATTGGGTACTCAACCTTACTAATAAGGCTAATTGGTATAAGCTATGGCTGGAGGTGGATTCTGCTGCAGTGATTCACCTACTAAATCAAGAGGAGGGATCTCCATGACACCACTTATATTGGATAAAAAAAATCAGAGATCTTATTATTAATTTCCAAATCCATTTCACTTTCATCTACAGGGAAGGAAACCAGCCTACAAATTGGCTGACCTAGCTTGGGTCACACTCCAATGAGACTGATGTTGCTGTAAACCCCCCCTCAGCCATTCGTCCTGCTGCAAGGAGACATACTGGAGGTTCCCCACTTCAAAATTGCAAATCAGGATACATGAAGAATTTTGGTGCAGCTGTACTTTTATATTTTTTCTTCCTTTGTTGAGTAATTGTATTTTTCTTTTTTGGTGGGTTAATTGATTTTCTGGGGGAGTTCTTTGGTTCTTGTATTGAACCAAGAAAGAATCCCCAATTTCTTACCTGCACTTTGTAATTTGCACATGACTCTAACCTTTAGGGAGTCAACAACAACTCCTTCACCAAAAAAAAAATATATATATAAACCTAAATAAATTTTATTCATTTATAACAAGGATTAGAATATTTTTCAGAATCATTTTTTCTTTCCATTAGCGGGAGATTCATGTACCGAGTAGCGTGGTTTGCATCAGGCTGCAAAAAAAATAAATTGCAGGTTTAGAATAAGGATATAAATATATATCTCTATTATTATCTTATTATTATTATAAAAGACGTTTGTGATTCCCTTATATAAATCTTAGCCATTTATAGTAAGGATTAGAACATTTTTTAGAATCATTTTTTCTTTCCCTTAATAGGAGATTCATGTTTCGAATAGCGTGATTTGCATCAGGGCTGCAAAAAAATAAAAGATACATTTAGAGAATGATATATATATATATATATATATATATATATATTGCATAAATGACCTCAATCTTATTCAAGGAGTTGCTAGTGTCTCCTTACATGTTAGAATAAGAAAAAAGGTTACAAGATCCTGAATATAATGGAGACTAGGTTGATTCAATACAGGAATCAACACATCTCCCAAAAATAAAAATAAAAAACCTACAAGATAACAAAACTAAGTTTGTTCAGTACAAAAGAACCCCTTAAGCACAATGGAAGCTACAAATGAAAGGATAATAAATGAGAACAACAGCTGACAAACTATCTCCAAGGATCTTGGTTAGATATTCTGAAGCGTGGAACCTCAAGCATGTCTCCCTGACACAGAAACTAAAGGGTAGGGGGCTGAGCAACAATTGTTAAATCATTAGAGCTTATGCTTTGTCTGGCTAGCCTATTTGTAGGATGGTTCCCTTCCCTATATATGATAGAAAAAATGACATGGGACTGTGAAGTTGCATTTTTGATTTTTTGAATCCAGTATGAGTGATGCCATGATGAATCCTCATCATGATTCAACATCTCACAGCTGCAGAATCCACTTCCATCCATAAATTATGCCAACCAATTTTTTTGGCAAGGGTCAGAGCCCAAAAGACTGCAATGAGTTCTGTCTCAATAACATCAGCAACCATAATAAGAGTATAGAAATATAGGAGGCATTTTCCAAGATGATTTCTGTAGACTCCCCCCACTCCAACACCTGTTTCTGTAAAGCTTCCATTAGTATTTATCCTCACAGTGTGATGTTCAGGAAGTTTCCAAAAAACTTTTTGAATTTGAATATTATCAATCTTTTCAGAAGCATATGTATTTGAGATGTTGGGGAATCTTTTAAATTTGATCGTCTTGTTTAAGTAAGAAAGACAGTTTCTGATAGTCTTCTCAATGTTTGGTGTGTTGTCTTCAAACTTAGCCTTGTTACTTTCCATCCAAATAAACCAAGCAACCATAAGTGGTATTGAAGCATAATTCCTTTTGTGGCAAGTCTGCCAGGAGGTAGTAAGCCTATCCCAACAGAAAAGATTACCTTCATTATTCAGGTGTATCAGCAGCTTATGCCACACTTGTTGTGCAAAGGCACATTCAAAGAAAAGGTGAAACAATGATTCCTCTTCCTGCAGACAGAACTAGCATTTAGAGGGACCTCTCAAGCCCTTTAATTTGAGAATATAATCAATTGGAAGAAGCTTTTGGAATATCCTCCAGCAGAGGAAAGACATTGATGGGGATAAAAACTTATTCCAAACAATGTCTCCCCAAGACATTTGTTCCCAACTGCATACTTTTGAGTAGATTGCTTTTGCGAGACTTTGTTTAGAGAAGGCATGCCAAATAATTTTATCATTTTTTCTTCTATCAATTTCAATGCTAGCAACTTTAGTGACTGAGTGAGCTTGCATAATATTGGTCCACTCAACTCCTTCCCAACAATCAGCAACTTTTAAGTCTTCGTTGGTGGGATTGGTCAGTGGGGACAACCAATCTTTAGGACATCAATTATCAAGCCAAAAGTTGATGTCACCATTCCCTAGGTCCCAAATAAACAAGTTTTCAGCAATTTGTCTTATGTTCGGCATATTCACCCAAATTTTGGAGTCCCCATTTTTCCTTTCAATAAGTGTAGGATGTTGGTCCCTATAATATTTACCTCTCATGAATTTGGCCCACAGTGAAGATTGGGCTCTAAATTTGATCCAAAGCTCCAAAGCTTGCAAAGATTAATCTAGATTAATCTGAAGGAGTTGGTTTGACCCCTTAAAACTAATACTCTCAGCTAACTGAGGTTTAGCAACCTTTTGCCAGGATGCCCAATGTATCTGCTGCCTTTGACCTGACCAAAAGAATCTATTAAATGCTCTTTCAAGCTAGATTTGGGTGTTTTTCTTAATATTAGTCATCTGCAAAATACAAGAAGGAAAAGTTGTTAGAATGCTCTTCAACAAGGTAATTCTACCCCTTAGATAGAAAAGATTGGGTCCACCCATTTAGAAATGAAGAGATCTTATTGATGACTTCCTCAAATTGTATTTGCTTAGTTCTGCCAGTAAGGAGGAGGACTCCTAGATACTTGATAGGGAGTTGGGAATTAGAAAATCTAGTGTAATTGGAAGCCCACTGTTTGCAGTTAGGGGAGGCATGCTTATGAAAAATCAGCTTGCATTTTTCAGGATTAAAATACATCCCAGAGTGTGCTTGGAATTTTTGAAGAGTCTGAAACACTTTCTTCACAGCATTCTTGTGGGCTCTGGAGAAAATCATGATATCATCAACATGGAGAAGATGAGTTATTTCTATGTTAGACCTATAGTGATATCTAGTATAGCTTGGGTTCATAAGGGTTTCATCCAGCATTCTAGACAAATAATCTATTGCAATTATGAAAATAGTGGGGGATAGTGGATTCCCTTGTTTCAAACCTCTAGCAGCAGTGAAGGAACCCCAATCTTTACCATTGATAAGTATGGAATGTTCATTATTATTAAGCCATCTCTTGATAAGTTGACAGAAAGTAGTATTGAAGCCTCTAGCAGTAAGGATATCTATTATAAAATCCCATCTGATAGTATCATAGGCCTTCCTCAAGTCTAATTTGTAAATCAAATTACCTCCTCTGCAAGTCTTATTCAAATCCTACAATAATTCCTGAACTAAAAGAGTATTGTTAATAATAGATCTTCCCTTCACAAAAGCTGTTTGGTTGGGTTTAATGATGCAGTCAAGATGAGGCTGAAGCCTATTGACTATGATTTTACTTATAACTTTACTGAGTACAGTAGTTAAGCAAATTGGCCTGAAATGATTCCAATTTTGCTGAATTTCTGACTTGGGAACTAGAATAAATGTAGAACAATAGAAATACTTGGGAAGATTGTTTCCTTGAACGAAGATAGTCACTGGAGCAATGACCATAGGCTTTATGGTCTCCTAAGATTTTTTATAAAACTCAAAAGTAAAACCATCAGGGCCAGGTGATTTATTGCTATCAATAAAATTTATAGCCTCCCAGATTTCTCTTTCATTTGGGATTTTTGTAAGGTTGAGATTTGCAGTGTAGTTCTGATCAACAAAGAAATATTCTTTATCAATAAGGATTCTGTGATTATGCACTTGATTTAATAGGTTTTTGTAGTAGTTAATTGCATCATGAGCTATCTCAGCATTGTCATTTAACCATTTCCCCTCAGCATTTTAAATTGTATGGATAGTATTACACTTTCTCTTGTATTTAATATAGGCATTGTAGAATCTAGTGTTTCTATCCCCATCAGTAAAAATATTCATAGCAGCCTTTTGTTTAAGAAATCTTTCTTGATAGTCAATAGCAATGAGAAGGTTGTTTTGAGTAGTAAGCAAATCCTTTTCCTCCACTATGCCTTCCTGATCTTCTTTCTCCAATCTTAACACTTCATTTTTAGCATTTTGAACATTAGTAATAACATTTCCAATAGCCTCCCAACTCCACTTTCTGAGTGCTTTGACAGTTTTCATTTGTAGAAGATTGAGTTTGATGAGAGAGTCTGGATGTGAGATACCTTTCCATAGATCAATAATATAAGACTTATATGAAGGGTGAGAAGAACACATGTTGAGGTATCTAAAAGGTGGAGGGGAAGAGGTCTGTTCATTAGAAGTGATGCTGATAAGTATAGGCCTATGGTCAGATCCAGCAAGGCTGAGATGAGTTACAAAGGTAAGCAGGAAATAATTAAACCAATTATCATTAACCAAGACTCTGTCCAGCCTTTCCCAGATGACACCTCTCTTCCAAGTGAAAGCAGGCCCCTCAAAACCCAAGTCAAAAAGACCAGCACTGTGTATATTATCATTGAATGTGTTCATCTTCACTAAATTAGGGGCTCTCTGATCCCGGACTTAATGCTTATGCACAATATATCAATAGTTCTGATGATATTTTTCAATTATATTTCCTAATTTTACAACAAAACCAAAAACTTGATCCTGATGAAAAATAAGAATTTAACTTTTTGATTTATATATATTTATATTGGGATACTATGCAAGTATACATATCGTTATCAAGTAATATAAGAATTTTTTATTAAGACCTGAATATCTAACCCACAAGGAAGATTATGCAATATGCACTTTTTAGAAAGTTTTCTATTTTAAAAAATATAATTACTTAGACTAAAAATGATTTTTGCAGGAATTTAAAATTTAAATAATTTTGGTATTTTTGATATTTTAACGAAATAGTAACAACTTAAGAAGATAACTAAAATTTTTGTAGAAAAAAAGTACTTAATATGAAAATATATTTCTTCTTATCATGAATCAGTAATAAGTATATGAATTCTGTTATGGAAGTATGCAAATTGTGTTGTGCCAAATAGGAGCAATAATATTCTTTACCTTATTAGAAATGCTATAAAGAACATTGGCTAATTCAAAGTTTGAATAGTTCTGAAGACCAGCTAGGCAGGGAAGATACTAGCTCTCACTCTAAAGTTCCCTAGATTCCCTCCACCTGGGGGCAAACATTCTCGTATCAGAATCTAAAACAATAAACCAAGTTAGGGGGCTTTAACCTATCACTTTAAAGTCCTCTAACTCTACACCCATCAATGAATATTTCCCTATTTATTTGCACTCAATCATATGAACTACATTCTCATTCATACAACCTCATGTGATTCTTTCCAATTGTTGACTGAGACAATACCAGCCCGTTTCTTACATGTTCTCACAACAAATTTTAACATCTGGATTGGTCAAATCAAGAAGTAAATGAAGTGCATGGATTTAAATCATCACAACTTCTTCCAACATTAAAGATCAATACTCTCCACAACTTCCATCCAAAACTTAATTACTTATCATTTTAAGAAGAAAGATAAATAAAACTACTCAGAATCTATGGAGAAAATAAAACCACACTTTAGTTTAAAATAAAAAATCATTGTCAAACCAACAACAAGTCTGGATTAACACCAAAAGTAGTCTAAAACAAAAAGATAAAAACTTATCTCAAGTCATTCACTAAACTCTTGAAGTTCTTTTGAATCTCTTCTCTTTTACAATCACCTAAAATAAAATAACAAAAAGGATAAAGTAAATAAAAAGTAGATCCTGAAATTCTCTCTGAACTAACTCCTCAAAGAAGAACTTTCAAAATTTGCCAATATTTTCAGGACTCTTTTTTAAGTCCTCTCGTCTTTCTTTTATAGTTTTCCAAGAGGTGCCTTGGGATCTTATCAAAATGTGTCTTGATTCGATGTATTTGCCTAAGTGATGCATCCTTTCATGATAATTTTCGTCCATGATGGTTACAACCACCTATTAAGCCAATGGGTACCTCAAAAACCTCTTCAAAATTCGTGAAAATTGATTTTACAAGTCTAGTAACTTCCACTGGCGCTTAAGCGCAGGATCTCGGTGCTTAGGCGTGGCCTTCTCTGTTTAACCGGCGCGTAAGCGCCGGATCTCACCAGATCTGATGCTTAGGCGCCAAAATTATTTGGCATAATTTTTCACCTTTTTTCTCTAAATTTGATCCTTTTTCACTCCTTTAAGCATTTTTTTTCATTTTTACTTGTATCTGCAAAAAAAAGATACAAAAATACCTTCTATTAAAACACAATATCTCAAAAATAGGTATAAAAATGTGTCTAAAAATACTATATATTTTAGGTGTATCACTCTCCCTCCAGTTTTTTCAGAAGAAGATGAAATACAGTTAAAATCTCCCCCACCAACCATGGGAATGACATCTGCTGGCTGATATTTAGTAGACACTTCCAAAGCTGTTTTCTATCCTCCTTAGTGCATCCTGCATATATAAAGTAGCATATCCCATATGACCATTAATATTAAAAGAGAAATGAACAAATTGTTGGTGGTTCATTAAAATGTTCCAAGTGATCTCCTTTCTGCAGAAAATCCAGATTTTGTTATTGGAATTAGCAAAATGGTTGAACCCAGAAAACTTTTTAATCAAATTATGAGGGTTCTTGTGAACCATAGGTTATAGTATAGCTATGCACCATAGCTTGTATTTAAAATTCAAGTGAAGCAATCTTTTGAGGGAGAGGGAATTAGCCATCCCTCTGATATTCCAGCAAAGAATGTTAATCATTGGATGGAGGGGGATGGAAAGATGGCTGTGATCTTGATCTAGTTTTGCCTCTATGGGTAGGAGAACTAATCTTTGTTCTAGATTTTCCTTCTGCCTTCATTGAGTTAGCCCCTTGTTGTAATTTTTGCACTTCTGATACTTGTTTTTTCTTTCTTCTAGCTGTTTGGATTTGCCAATCTTCTTCACTTATCTCTCTCAGTCCAGTAATTATATGATCCTTAGGGACTATGTTATAGGTTTTTGTATTAATAAAAGCTCCCATCTCCTCAAGTAGAGGGGTGATCATTATAATTTCATTAACTTCCTCTCTAACTAATCTGATAGAAGAGTCTCTGCATTTCTTTTTGATGGGGAATCAGACAAATCTCCTAAAGGATCTTCTGATGAGGAATTACAGTGGTTATTGGAAGAAGTTCTTCATTCCTTTTAGTAATTTCAGATCTGATATTCAGATTTGTTCCTTCAGTAATCTTCTCTGTCACTTTTAATGGAGCTCCTCCTACATCCTTTTGATCCCCACCAACATTCCTTCTGGGAGGGGGATGTAACCTGTAACACTTCTCCACTGTGTGGCCAAACAATTTACAATGTTGGAAATAATAAATCTTTTGCTCAGCTACAATTTCTTGCCAAAACCCTTCAATATCTGAACCTATCCAAATTCTCTTCAGCTCAGGGAAAGTGATGTCTCTCTCCACCTGTATTCTTGCAAGGGCTGGTCTAGCCTTATTAAAAGTGGGGGCATCCACTTTCAAAGGTGTACCCAGTGCTCTACCAATATTAAAAAGAGCATTTAGCTTGAAGTAAGGAAGTGGGAGGCCGGGCAATTCGAACCAAAGAGGAACCACAGGGGGTTCTTTACTTGGATCAAAATCAGGTGTCCACTTCATAATTTTCATTGTGGTTCCAACAATAATCACATATTGTTTAGCAAAGAGTCTTGCATAATCTTCCTCCACAGCCAGTTGGATTAAAAGATGCCTCCCATATATTAATCCAATTTTCCAGTCTCCAATAAATTTTAAGGATTCAAAGTAATTTCTAACCAGCTCCATCTTTGGATGTCCTAATTGAAATTTGCCCACCAAAGTAAATTTAACTTCTTCCTTAAGGGAATCAATTTCTCTGTTAGTGAAGAAAACATCATTTTCTCCCTCCTTAGATCTAAGAGGGTGAATACATGGACTGTTTCCTTTCCCAGTAGTTGTGTCATGGAATTCCTGTGGGAACACGAGTTGCTCAAAATCTTGTAAAGTTTCTTTTGTTCTTCCAACAACTCTAACATAAGTAGCTTTTTTCCATTGTGAGTTAGTGAAAATATCAATAGGTGTAGCCATGTTCACCCACAAAGGAAAAAAGAAAACCCTCCCTAGCAGAAAGTACAGTGAAAGAAATTTTTGTCTCCAGGAGGCACCAGGATACAGAGAAGGGAGCTGGGAACAAAAGGCAAAACCTTCCAAAAACTTGCAATATAATCAAAACAAAAGAGGTATAATACAGTTTGGCAACTAGAGAACTCAAGAAATAAGGCAAAGAGAAACTTCTCTAACCCCAAGTGAGCAAACAGAGAGTGTGCTCAATGGAACAGTACCTCTTGAAAAACTCCAGAACCAGGAGAAAAAAGAAAAGAAACACCACCAAAATGGGAAACCAGCAGTGAAGCACCCACCACTGTCCACTACTCCAGTGACAAACCTCAGTATGCAGCGTCCATCCTTCATCCTGCCAAAAACCCTAGCAGAGCACTTTCTCCAGCCGCCACCTTCATCTTTATATATGAATAATATATATATATATATAAAATATTATTATAAATATGTTTATGATTCTCCTAAATAAACCTTATCCATTTATAGCAAGAATTATAACATTTTTCAGAATTATTTTTTCTTTTCCATAGCAGTAGATTCATGTACCAAGTTATGTTGTTTGCATTAGGGCTGCAAAAAAGTAAAAGCGTTTAGAGAAAGATATATATAAGTATGGCTATTATTATCTTACGATTATTATAAAAGACATTTATGATTCCCCTAAATAAATCTTTGACATTTATAGCAAGGATTAGAGTATTTTTAAGAATCATTTTTCCTTTCTCTTAGCGGGAGATTCGCATACCGAGTAGCGTGGTTTGCATTAGGGCTGTAATATATATATATA